CTGGAGGGTAGGACTCAAACCAATGGCTTCAAGTTACAAGAAAGGAGATTCCAGCTCAACACCAGGAAGTGTATATACTTGAATCTGACCAAAATAAGCCTCCTAGAGCTAAATATACATCAAGGTAGCATACAATGTCCTCCTCCTCCTCCTTTTTTAATCCCCACAATGACCCTTTGAAGTACTGAGAGGTGGGGACAGGCCCAAGGTCAGCCAGTGAGCTTAGGTGCCCAGTGCTGATTTGGTCTCCCAGGTCCTAGACCAACACCCTAACCACTACACCACGCTGCCCTTGTCCAAGTCTCCTCCCCAATCACCTTGCCCAAGTCTCCCTCCCCAGGCTGCTTTTGCATTGCAGAGGAAAAGATAGGGGGAATCAGCAGTGCTATTTCCTGAACTGGAAGGAGGTCTGACTAAAGTCCCTTCAAACTATCAGAAAGTTGGAGAACCCTGGACTCGTGTCTGCATGGATCTCCACTCATTGGCCACCCTGCTCACACAAGGTCCATACCTGCTAAAGCTGGATACAAGGAAATGGACTAGGAATCATGCACACTAACAAAGGAAACTGCCTTATACTGCATCTAGCTCAGAATTGTTGGTACTGACATGTAGCAGCTCTCCAGCATCTTTCAGTTATGGATCTTTTCCATCCCTGCAACTGAGCTATGACCCTTCGATCCCAGTTTACCTTCCAGTGACCCTAGTTTACCTTCAATTTCCTCTCCATCCTCTGGTATTAGTTCCACCACCAGCTCCTTGTCCTCTTCATCCCTGGCCAGCCATCGGTGGGCTTCAAACTGATAAACCTCCATAATATCTATCTCCTGAGGCTCCTCCTCTTCCTCCGCTTCTTCAGGAGACTTTTTCTTCTTCTTCTTCTTCTTTTTCTTTTCCTCCCTTGTCGGCATCTTCTTAACCGTGACAGTTTCCAAGAACCAGCCGTCCCCAATGCCACTCCCGTCGTGGCCAATTCGGATCTTGTAGACTTTGCCAACGTCCGCAGCTTCTACCTTTAAGATGGTTAGTAAAATAAACCCTGAGCGTTTCGACAGCATTTTAAGGTGTTGAAAGCGTTTTGTACATGCTCTCTGTCATCCTTACAGCAACCCTGTTAGACAGGCATGGCCAAACTCCAGATGATTTGGGACTACAATTCCCATCATCCCTGACCACTGGTCCTGTTAGCTAGGGATGATGGGAGTTGTAGTCCCAAAACATCTGGAGGGCCAAGTTTGGCCATCCCTGCTGTTAGATATTATGATCTCTATATTTCAGATTGATGGACAGAAGTATGTTTTCTAAATTGTACTAATTTTGTTAAAAACAAGATTACCGAGCATAAATAACAAAAGTACAGGAGGAATAAAATATAAAACAGATGATAGGCAGTGCTTGCAAAGACAGTTTTTTGAAGAGGGTTTCTTTTCTTTTCTTTATATTTTAATAGCTTTTATTTAATGATTTTGCAGTTTATGCAACAAAACAAAAGAACACACAACAAGAAATTATAATCTTTAACTAACCCACAGGCAAGTCATAGATATGTAAATCTTTTTTTTAAAATGACCGAATTGTTGGTTTAACAAAATATAGAATGAAATAATGAATGGTCAAGAAGCCCAATGTAGAAGTTGGGAGAAGAGGTAGGGTCCTGGGGAGAGTTACAAATATTTCCAAATTAAATCATAATGAACTGGGGTGGGGTTTCTGAAGACCCTTGTGGGCAAAAAAGATAATAGAATCATAGATTTGGAAGGGGTTCCCAGGGTCATCTAGTCCAACCCACTGCAATACAGGAGTCACAACCGGAGAATAATTGTGACATCAGATGATTGACAGGCTGGTGGCTCCACCAACCTGTCCAATGTGGGCTGCTAGAGGTCAGGAAGGTAATTTCTGGGTCTGTTGCCCAGATCCAGTTCCACACCTCTGCCACAAGCAGCCCAACAGCAGCCCAAGAAAGCCCAACAGAGACTCCATCTCCTCAGATTATTGTGGAAGAATGATGTCAATCAACATTTGACGATCTCCTTCTACCGGTCAACGATAGAAAGTGTCCTTTCATACTGCATCATGGTGTGGTACGCTGGTTTGACATCATCTGATAGGAAGTGCCTACAGAGGGTGGTGAATACAGCACAAGATATTATGGGCTGTCACATGAATCCGCTGGATGAAATAGCGGAAGAACGTTGCCTCAGGAGAGTGAGGAAAATTCTCAGGGATGATTCACACCCTGACCAGCACTTTCTTGATCTCCTGCCCTCGGGCAGAAGATATAGAAGCCTGATTAGTCGCACCAACAGGGTAAAGAACAGCTTCTATCCATGGGCTGATAGGCTGCTGAATGAAAAGATAACAACAGGGCAACTGACTTTTGGGTTTGGTGTGTGTGTGTCAGTAAACAAGGGGAATTAAGACTAAGAGAGCTGAGTGGGGGATGCTCGTGTAATCTCACAGTATGCAAGTTGTACAAGTGACAATAAAGTATTTCAATTTCAATTTCTGACCAGGAGAGAATCTCATTCACAGCTCTCAGGGCTGAGAGCTAAAGGTTCATTTTTTCTGTTTCTCTGTGATCATGTCCACAAGGCACATTTTGAACTTCATAACACATTGTGCAGGCGTGACCTCGGAGAAGCTAAAACTGAAGAAGGCTCGTCGAACATCAAGCCTGGCAAAAAGATGCAATATCTAGATCCACCACACTTTTGCTGGCGGAGAGGGAAAGCACTCACCCCAGAGAAATCTAGTTAAAGCCCCTTCTGTGGCTCAGCCCTACCTTGAAGGTTTCTGTCGCTCCTCTCTCGTAGTTGTTTGACCGGTTTCTCAGAATCAGGACCTCTGTTTTGCCCAGCTCACCATAAATCTGCATGAAGACGTTGGCATTGGTACCTGCATTCCTCACGTCGCCAGTCACTACACACACCTCGTAATTTATCACTATGTTTGAAGCAGACGGGGAGGAGAGGTTATTGCGGAAATTAAGGCTGTTCTCTCTTTCCCCCCCCCCAATAGATTTTAGAGGATGAAATTAGATAATACGGAACCTTAAAATGCAATTGTATGTAATTTGGAATACAGTCATACCTTGGTTTTCAAACAGCTTAGTTCTCGAACGTTTTGGATCCCGAACACAGCACACCCGGAAGTGAGTGTTCCGGTTTGCAAACTATTTTTGGAAGCCGAATGTCCGACGGGGCTTCTGCAGCTTCTGATTGGCTGCAGGAGCTTCCTGCCCCCAATCAGAAGCTGTGCTTTGGTTTTCGAATGTTTTGGGAGTTGAACGGATTCCATTCGACTTCCAAGGTGCAACTGTATAAACATAGACATTGGGTGAGCTGGAAGTCACTAGCTTTGTTGAATTTGATGATAACTGTTGAGTAACAAATGTACCGTATTTTTCGCTCTATAAGACACACCAGACCACAAGACGCACCTAGTTTTTGGAGGAGGAAAACAAGAAAAAAAAATTCTGAATCTCAGAAGCCAGAACAGCAAGAGGAATCGCTGCACAATGAAAGCAGCAATTCTGGCTTCTGGGATAGCTGCGCATCCTGCATTCGCTCCATAAGACGCACACACATTTCCCCTTACTTTTTAGGAGGGAAACAGTGAGTCTTATAGAGCAAAAAATACGGTAATTTTCAATATGGAAAAGAGTAAAATATTCTTACGGAGGGGGGAAATGATTTACTATGGAAGAAGTACTTTCTTGTATCTGCCCTAAATCTTCCAACATCGCAGAGGACAACCCTCCCTTTCTTTCACTCCCAGAAAATGCTATCAATCATAATCACTAGAAAGGTGCCACCAGTCCTTACGTTTCTCAATTGGGACGATTTCGCTGGGGTAGACTTCAATCTCTACCTTTCCATCGGCTTCGGTTTTGTCCAGCCAACGGTTGCAAGGGAAGTTGTACTGCTTGCCGTGGACAGGAATTGAAATCTCAACACTGCCAAGGTGCCAGCCAGCCCGGAGTCCTACATTGTCGTGCCCGATCGAAATCCGCTTGATCTTTGAGAGGCAGGACGGAAAGAGTTTGAGTGCATCATGGAATGCCTATTGCTCTAGCTTTGCTCAGTTCTCAACTACCTCAGTTGTCTTTGCTCTCTGTCTCAAAGGGGACTTCTGGATTCTGCTCAGCGCTATAGCAGGCAGGCAGATACAACGTCTAGATTTGATGAGTTGTACCCAACTAAGTTCCATACAAAGTAGACCCATTGAAATTACTGGAGCTAGGTTAGGCATGCCCATTGATTTTAATGGTTCTGCTCTGAGTATGACTAATATTGGACACACACACAAAAACCCCAGGAGATCAGTTGTTGTTGTTGTTGTTGTTGTTGTTGTTACATTGGTAACTCTGGATGCAAACAGGATCCATTCCGGAGCCCCGTTCACATCCAGAAGCGAATGCAACCCACGTCTGCACCTCTGCGCATGCGCAGCTTGCGATTCGCGATTCGCCGCTTCCGCGCATGTGTGTGATGTCATTTTTAGCGTCTGCGCATGCGCGAGCGGTGAAACCCGGAAGTAACGCGTTCCATTATTTTCGGGATGGCGCGGAGCGTAACCTGAAAACGCTCAACCTGAAGCATATTCAACCCGAGGTACAACTGTTATTATTATTATTATTATTATTATTATTATTATTATTATTATCATTATGATCCCAGCAGCTCTCAAAATGACTGAAGCCTGTTGAGTAGCGGCTAAATGATCTGAGCCTGCGCAACACCGACAGCACATCATATTAAGACTCCTACAGACTGCAGAGGTAGTGAGGAGCCCTATGCACAAGAAGGTGGCGTAAAGCAAGCCAATGTAAGTTAAGCTAGTGTAAAATTGCACCAGATTTAAAGCCCCTTCAGCAGCGGGGCTGCTGCTCCAACTAAGCATGGCAGAGAGAAAGCAAGTCATAGAATCGTAAATTGTAGAGTTGAAAGGGACCACAAGGGACATCTAGTCCACCCCCTGCAAATGCAGGAATCTTTTGCTCTATGTGGGGCTCAAACCCACGGCCCCAAGTTTAAGAGTCTCATGCTCTACTGATTGAGATATCCTCCTAAAACAGCATTTTATGCTGGGGTGCTGGGTCACATCATAGAACTGAATGGGCTTAGGGTCCACTCTAAGTTCACCCATTTTGGTCATCTTTCTTCCATGACCTTTGGGGGGATTTACCCTGGCTTTGGCTCAGCCAGCTGAGGCTGAGCTGAGCTGACCAGAGCTGAGCTGAGCAAGATGGAGCTATATTTGGCCAAGCTGGAATGGGGAACTTAATGCCAGCTGAACCTGGCTGAGACAGGAATCAACTGGCTGAGCCAGTGATCTGCTACATCCTAAGATGCTTATCCCAGTGGATCTTTCCATAGGCTTACCCCCTAAAAAGGTAAAGGGACCCCCGACCATTAGGTCCAGTCGTGGCCGACTCTGGGGTTGCGGTGCTCATCTCGCCTTATTAGCCGAGGGAGCCGGCGTACAGCTTCCGGGTCATGTGGCCAGCATGACTAAGTTGCTTCTGGCGAACCAGAGCAGCGCACGGAAACACCGTTTGCCTTCCCGCCGGAGTGGTACCTATTTATCTACTTGCACTTTCAAACTGCTAGGTTGGCAGGAGCAGGGACCGAGCAATGGGAGCTCACCCTGTCACAGGGATTTGAACTGCCGACCTTCTGATTGGCAAGTCCTAGGCTCTGTGGTTTAACCCACAGCGCCACCCGCGTCCTGTTTGCCCCCTAAGTGGGTTCAAAACACCATGCTCCAATTTTTCCTCTTCCCCTGCCTCGACCCACAGTTTTCCTCAACATGGAGTCCGATAACAAGCTCTGGAGTCCATGCGTGCTATTTCTGATGTTGTCTTTGAGTCTAAAAAAGCTATTGCTTAACTGTGGGTTTCAGTTTAGAAAGCATGTGATGCCATAAAGTATGATAAACTGCTAGGCAACCACACTCCATTTTTAAAGCCATTGTGACCTTAATAATTAAACCAGTCCTTTCTGCGGCACAAAGCCGTGTTTGCAGTTTGTTCTTACCTCCCCAATGTCCATTGTGTCAAGAGTGAAGATATCGATCCGTCCTCGTTCAAAGTAGTCCTCTAAGTCATTATCAGACACCAAAAGTGTCTCCTTTTTCGTGTCTGCTTTTTCACCGTAGAGCTTGATCAAAACCTTTGAATCTGAGCTGGCTCCAGGGACGTCCCCTGTTTTTATGCTGATGTGGTAACCGATATCTACAGAAATATTAGCATGTGCTAGGTATGAGGCCTGACAACATAGGGCAAAAACTCATCCCTCACCACTGGTGATCGAAAAAGAACAGGAAAAGAAAGAAGAGAAGCTAGGAATTCATGTATGATACTTCAGACTCTTTCAGGACCAACTGAAATGGTCAGTGTCATCCATTCCAATTCTTGATGGAGGAAAGATAAAGAGACATTCAAAGGACTTGACCAGAAACAATGAGAAGACACAACGAGTTAAAAGAAAGCTTGAGAAGACACAACGAGTTAAAAGAAAGCTTTCCATCTACCCCTGTCCCAATGAAGTAAAAACTGAACAGCCAGACATGAAATCCATTTGCAAACTCACTTTCCAGAATAGATGATCTCCCAGCTGGAACTAACTCTCGAATAATCATGCCATCATCCTCATTCTTGTCAAGCCATCTGGTCAGCAAATAAAAGTTAAGTTACCTGCTATTACCAGCCAAGCATCAGGAGGTTTATTAAAATCCAGGAAGATACAGTGTATATACTGAGAAACAAACCTGTGTGCCTAGAGACCTTTTTATGGCAATCTGGAATAAAGAAACAGATTACAAGACACCTGGCAAAGAAGAAACAATATCCAATAATTCACAGAATTGTAGGGTTGGAAGGGACCCCCAAGTGAAAGAATCCCTGACAGGTGGCCATGCAACTTCTGTTTGAAGACCTCTAACGAAGAAGAGCATATCACCTTGCAAGGTAAATGTATATATTTGTCATCTTTATTCCATGTCTCAGTTGTGAGTTTGAGATGCTTAAGAGGGGGGCAGGGAACAAGAGCTAGGGAAAGGTGTTAATTTCTGGCAGTTAATGCCTTAAACATCACCAGCAAGATGGAAACCTTCTTTGTTTGGGGAGTTTGAAAAAACTGACCCCAAAGTGTAGTAAGAATATGTATAATTTCTGTTTTATCCTAACCTCTGACATGTTACATTCCAGGTAGTAAAGGTAAAGGGACCCCTGACCGTTAGATCCAGTCGTGACCGACTCTGGGGTTGCGGCGCTCATCTCGCTTTATTGGCCGAGGGAGCCGGCATAAGGCTTCCAGGTCATGTGGCCAGCATGACTAAGCTGCTTCTGGCGAACCAGAGCAGCGCACGGAAACGCCGTTTACCTTCCCGCCAGAGCGGTACCTATTTATCTACTTGCACTTTGACATGCTTTTGAACTGCTAGGTGGGCAGGAGCAGGGACCGAGCAATGGGAGCTCACCCTGTCACGGGGATTCGAACTGCTGACCTTCTGATCAGCAAGCCCTAGGCTCTGTGGCTTAACCCACAGTGCCACATCTACAAAAAAAGTGGGCTACTCATTGTCTATTCTTCCCCATTTTTTAAATTGAAGATTTCATTAAAGGGCAGCGGGCTGGTGTAAGGGGCACAGGGCAGGCCATGTGGGACTCACAGCTCTGGCCACTCCCCCCCCCCCACATCAGGATTTGCTGCCTGAGGCAGCTGCCTCACTCGGTCTCCTCATAGGGCCAGCCCTCACACTCACTCTCTCTCTGACACACACAATTTGCATTCTGTACTGGTGCAGCCTGGCAACAGATGCATTGCACGCATTTGGTGATTGAATATTCCATTTTTTTAAAAAATGCAAAATAGCTATGAGACCCTGGCAAAGCACCACAGCAGAATGGGCACCATGCAAAACAAAGGAACCCCATTTCCCCTCGCTGAACATTTGTTGATTGTCGGGTATGTACTCTACCCAGTATTCTTCCCTTTCAGTCTCTAAAACCATGTGGCCAAAGGTAAGCGCTTTGGAAAGGTTTAGATGCCTCAATTAGCAGAAACGCACCTGAGTTTTCATTTTAGCTGCAAAACCTGCTGTTTAGGGATGTTCATTGTGGAGAAAAAACACTTTCTTGCAAAAAATGTTGTGTTTGTTTGCTGCCATTTTCCCCTCTGCCTGCTACTGCTGGGGCGCCATTTTGTTCTACTTGAAAAGGCCACATCACACCATGATCCCAGCCAATCAAAGATCACAGTGATGCCACAGCACCCTGCAACCAGTCAGGCAGGACTATGTGACAGCAGCACTGAGAGAAAACAAATCCTACCTACTGCCCTTCTCTGAATAGGAGGAAATGAATCTCTCTTGCCTAGGCGTTCATGTTGATGCTCGTTATTTGTCTACACCATACTGGCGATTTTGTCCACTTTCATTACTAGGCAAGACTTTCCCAATTCCAGTTGCTTATGACTAGGCTGGAGAAAAATGTGGATGAGGATATATATCTGAATGCATATCCCACCAAAAGCAAGTGTCGATGGATGACATCTGCATTCTGCACCAGCTAGGAAAAATGTGCAACAATTAGATCAGAGCAATGCTGTTTTGATCTGGTTGCCTTGGCAATGAGGAACACATTTCATCTTCCACTGACACCCACCCCCAGCGAACAAGGGAGGGTGTGTTTCGTGTGAGATGTAAAAGGTTTGTCAACATGCTCGTCCGTGGTTTTGGCCCAGCATTAGTTAGGAACAGTAATCCTCTGCTGTGGTGACTTGTGGCAGAGATCGAGAAGTAGGAATGTAAGGAAAGCAGCTGCAGAAGCAACCAAGATAACTTCCCAAAGGAAGGAAGCCTTCGTAGGGTTGGTTTTGGTCTTTGGTTTTTACCTTGCTGCAACTTAGTACCTGTGTCTTGCGCAGCTCTTGATGCTGTTCCCATCCTAGGATCTTGTTCCAGTGACTAGGGATTAAGCCACCGCCATGGTCAAGACATCTTGCTGTTTAGGTGGCACCTTCATGAGAAGTTCTTCTGAGATACTTCCTGTTTTGGTCTTATAACAGGGATCACTCATCACAGGAAAGCTGCTTCCAGCAGCCTCCTTGTAAGGAGTGTAGCATCTACATCAGCCATAAGCAAGGCCCATAGTTTGTGATCAACGTTTCATACAAAGATTTAATGCTTCTCCAAAAAAAAGAAACACCCCAAAGAAATCGGAAGACTCCTTGACCAGCAGGCCTGGAATGGTTGTCATCCAATATCTACAGGTCATGGAGAGATCTGCTTTCCTTCATAAAAGAGGATGCAGTTGGCGAGCACCTTTGTCTTCAAATTTCTCAAGAGCCCATGACACAACCGCCAAGCAGAAGGCAGCCATGTTGGCAAAGAACGCACGTGCCAGCATTGGGCTGGGTTCTTCTGCTGCAGGCTGTCATGTGACCCTCTTTCTATTTGAAAGGTAGAGATAATAGAGGTGCAAGGACAGCAAAGGAAATTTCTCTTGAGATGTGACTGTCTTACATGGAAAAGAGGGCTCTGGAGATGTTAAGGACCATGTGCACCTTTTTGTGGCATGTGTTTCTGTGACTGCAGAGCAAGAGATTTTAAGATCTGGGCCTTGGTCTTCATGTTCCTGATTGGTGTGATGTCTCTCTGGGGTTTAGAATTAGCTGCCTCCATGATTCTGAGGGAAGTTATTGCCTGATGCTCAGGTAGATCACATGGAAAGGAGAACCAATTGTGGCTTTATTTATACAGCACCCATTTTTATTTTTCAAGGCCACTGGATTGGAAGGAAAGAATACCATGTTTTAAACCAAAAAATTGGTCAGTGGGATAATTGTAAATTGTAATAATTCTAAATCATTTCACCTTATGAACTATTCCTTTGAAAGGGCTGTACATTCCACTTGCATGCTGTATCCTAGTAGCATGCACACTTCCTAAAATTATTGTTATTTATTGTTGATGCTATTTTCAACCACTCTGTGCTAGGCTAAGATAGCCTCATAATGCTTGTGTCAGGAGCGTTTATGGTGAGGTTCAGTGGCTGAGGCCATTGGGGTTA